AGATGTCCCCAAAGATCCATAGGCTGAATACCCAGCTTTACAGCCTAGAGTTGGCATACAGTAGTTGAGTTTTAAAGGCATTTCTAAAACCAAAACGTACCTTTTTATCTGAGGTTGTTGTTTGGTCAATGTTTAAATGTTAAGTGAGAAAAAAAATGCCTAAATGCTGTTTGAATGGTTGAGATGTTGAAAAAAAATCTTACTTCAGCAATAAAATGTTGTATTGAAAAGCAACGGCTTCTGAGTGTCAATAAAAAAAATCAGGTCTATAAATATTACATTGTGATGACTTTAAATTTTTATTTGAGACAACTTAAAAAAAATAGTTTGCTCCCATATTCAAAAGTTGTTTAAATGAATTTAAAATATTCAGGTTGAACCAAGTATATTATTTACATTCAGTAATAAAAACCAAAGTATTTAATTTGATTTTGTAAAATCTGAAATAATTGCTTTGGTTCAACCTTCAGAAATTACTTTACATGAAGTTAAATATTTCAGGTCAAATCAAATTTATATTGCATGAAACTACAATATTAGTTGTGATCGATTACCTCAATTTTTGTAAATTGAGCCAATGTTTAATTTTTTTCAGTGCAGTTTGGAAAGAGTAACAAAGCCGTTTTTAAAGCTTTGAGATCATCCACTGAGAAAAAATGGAAAAGACATGATTTACGTCCAAATGACGTCTAGTTGAAAAAGTTGAAAAGACGTTATTTTCGGATCGTTGAAAAACGAAAAGTTGAGCTTCCAACGTCTTTTCAACGTCTATTATTGGACTAAAGTGGAACAGAATCAAACCGACCAAATTTTAAACAACTATTTATGACAGAGAAACCTACGGAAGAGGATTAGGGCCACTGAAAAAAAAAAAGTTAAATTTTATTTCAGTTTAACATGGGAAAAAAGTCAGAATTCTGACTTTAATCTCAGAATTCTGACTTTTTTCTCAAAATTCTGACTTTAATCTCAGAATTCTGACTTTAATCTCAGAATTCTGACTTTTTTCTCAAAATTCTGACTTTAATCTCAGAATGCTGACTTTAATCTCAGAATTCTGACTTTTTTCTCAAAATTCTGACTTTAATCTCAGAATTCTGACTTTAATCTCAGAATTCTGACTTTTTTCTCAAAATTCTGACTTTAATCTCAGAATGCTGACTTTAATCTCAGAATTCTGACTTTTTTCTCAAAATTCTGACTTTAATCTCAGAATTCTGACTTTTTTATTGTCAGAATTCAGTCAGAATTCTGAGATTAAAGTCAGAATTCTGACTTTTTTCCCATGTTAAACTGAAATAAAATTTAAAAATCAGTTAACTTTGTTTTTTTTTTTCAGTGGCCCTAATCCTCTTCCGTAGAAACCAGATTCATCATCTGGATGAAAACCATCATCTGGATGATATCTGGTGTTTTAGAGCCGCAGAGCAACAATCCACGAATGGAGAAAGTCATGCATTTTGCATGTCTCTGCAGCCGGAGCTAAATAGAATAGAATAGATACAGTCTCAGAGAAAAAACCTCACAGCACCATGCTTGATGTGGACTTAAACAGGGTTGACATGCAGCAGAGAATGTGTCTCATTACATAAGGCTCCATATGCAGCTCTACATATCTGCTGCTGCTTCCGTACTCTTACTCCTTTCTGGCTGAGACGGTCTGCTGAGGCAGAAGCACATAGAAAAGCAATAAAACATAGAGAGGAAAGTAATGGTGAGGACCAGCAGAAGAGCCCTAAGTTAATGGATGGAGGTTATTATATGCTGGGATAATAAGAGGGGGGGGGGGGGGGGGGGACAGCTCTATTAGTGTGGGTAGCAAAGCTAAAGGGTTATATGGAGCACGGCTCTATTGCAGCGGGGAGGTGGGGACATCATAATCCCAGTGGCCTTATAAGTAATTACTATGTGATAGTGGGAGTGAATAGTAAAGCCCATCTACTGTCAGCAGAATTGGAACGAAGTCCCTAATGGTTTCCTGAGCCTCCATGGATCCATGTGTGTGATGGTGTGTGTTTACCGCACAGCCGCCATTTAAAGGTGAGTGTGTGCTGGACTTTGGGGCAGAACATGCTGGTTTATATTGAGGCCATTTTTCATTTCTCCAAAGCAACATCTCTGCAACGATGTGTGTTTATAGGATGCTGTAGGACCACGCACATCCTCCTGCCCAATATTGAAGCTGTCAGTGGGTGAGAGGCGGGGTCCATCCTGGACAGGTCTCCAGTCCATCGCAGAGCAAAACAGAGACAATCATTCACACTCACACCTAATGAGGATTTAGAGAAGCCATTCAACCTAACAGTCATGTTTTTGGACTGTGGGAGGAAGCCGGAGTACCAGGAGAGAACCAGGCATGCTCAGGGAGACATGCTAACTCCATTCAGAAAGACCCCAAGCCGGGAATTGAACCCAGAACATTCTTGATGCAAGGCAGCAGTGCAACTTTAAACTAACGATCCCTCTATTAACAGTTTATCTCCATCTGTTGGGATCTGGAGGCTTGTCCACTTTCTCCACCAGAGGGCGCCTGAGATCTTCCTCCTGAGGGCGTGAGCGTACTTCTATACACCTGTTTCCTGTCTGCTCATCAGAAGACCTATTTAAGGAGGCGGAGGCTGACACTTCCCTGCCAGAGTGTTTGCCAGTATTTATCCTGACTTATCTGGAAACCTGGAATCCTGGAGAAAGTAATCTCTGTCTGGAATCTGCCTGCCTGCACTCCGTCTCAGTCTCTGCCTCTGCCTCACCCCCTGCTGACCGGAATCCTCTCTGAGCAGGTATTTATCCTCGACATCTATAAACTGCAAGTTTTCTGGATCAACTTTAACTGCTCTGTCCTCCTCAGTGGCTTCCCTTCCGTGACCAGTCCAAAGAACAAAGAACCAGTGCATTCATTTACTTGTGAACATTGTTCAATAAATCATTTAACTTTTTCTCTGTCTCAAAGAGTGATTACTGCATGTGGGTTAGACGCCTAGAACCCAACATGACACCATCAGCTCTAAGCAAACTCTGACCTCAAAGATCTCAGGCTTTCAGCTCCTTTCCAGTCTGCTGGGAGCTTGTTCCAGATCTGTGGAGCATAGATGCTGCTTCTCCATGTATGGTTCTAGGTCTGGGTGGAACTAGGAGACCTGAGTGATCTGGGAGGTAGATCCAATGATAACAGATCTGCTATGGATTGAGGCGCTTATTCCTTTCTTGTCTGAGTCTCATGAGGAAAATCTCTCCGCTGTCAGTCAAATCATTAAGCTTGCTTGGCCAATCAGGACCGAGCAGCCAGCTTCATGACCCGCCCTGCTCAGTAGACCCCTTTACCCCAAAATCGTTCTTTCTGTTTGGTGCAATTTGATTTGTGGATCTTGAGCTGTCCGGAGCGGAGCAAAAAATTGCTCGGCTCCGTATTTTGATGGTGTCGGACGGAGAAGACATAGGTGGACGGTGACGTGCCGAAGCGTAGTGGTGGATGTGGAACAGTTCTCATTGGTTAACATGACAGACGGGGCGGAGCGGAGAACGTAGAATCTGGGGATGAGAAGCTGAACCTCAATGAAAGCGACCAATTGTTGTGTTTTATCCAATCAGGCAGTAACGGTAGAAGAACTGCTGCTTTAACATGAATTTTAATGTTTTTTAATGTAAAAAATGGTCTGAAAAATCTCCTAATATAGTGAGAAAGTTGCTCTGTTGTCTCTAGTTCTTGCTGACTATCAAGTGCATCACCGTAGCCATCAGTTAGCTTCCTATGCTAAGCACCTCAGCAAGACAGACAGCAGGCAGCATCGCTGGTTTTCCAAAATAAACTTAATTCTAACTATTCTGCTTCATCATGCTTTACGGTAGCTTTTATTTATTTGTGGATTCCTCTGAAGATGTGGCAGCCATTCTTTCCTGTTGCGGTGCACAATGATTGTATGGCGCAAAAACGCTGGTTTTGAGTCATATAATGAAAAGCACATAAATCTCATCTTTCCCCTGTCCTCAAAAGAAAATATCTCGTTCACATCTTGCTTGTCAGAGTCTTGGTTTGTTAGTTCCTGTTTTTCTTGGTTTTCCATTTGTTGTCCTCTGCTGCCCTCTTGTGTCCTCTTTCCCTTGCTCTGTTTTCCGTTCTGCCCTCGCCTGTTTTCAATTCCCTCGTCAGCCCTCTCTTTGTCTCTGTCCCCTTTAAAAGCCCTCCCTCTTCAGTTCCTGTTTGCTGGATCCTCGTCTCTCCCTGGCTCCTAGAGTTTTTGGTTTACCCCTGATGTCTCCTTGGTTCTGGTGCTTTTGTTGTTTTCTGTTGGATTTTGATTCCTGCCTCAGTTCCTGTGAACCTTAATAAACCCACTTAAATTCACCTCTGCCTACTGGCCTCTGCATTTGGGTCCTCAATCCAACACCAAATCCTGACATTGCTGAGTTGAAATTAGCTACAGTGAAGGAATCTTAGGATGAAATTCCTTAGTGATACATTCCTTAAGAAAACCTCCATTATCCTGCTTTCTCCTCAAACACCGTAGTACTTTCAGTCAGCTGAATAAAATAATAAGTTACTGCTCTTATATGGCAGTAACTGAAATCGAAACGAGGGATCAGAATTGATCTAGCTTCAATTCAAGCGATGCCCAACCCTGATAACCAGTCTACCGTAGAATAGTTAGTAGTCAAGAAATGCCTGCTGTAGCGTTTTCCGTCTGCAAAAAGGTGACATTCTGTCACCAGCTGTCAAATAAACAAATAAAAACATTGTTCAAAGTTATGAAAAACAGACAGACACAGCATTGCCTTTAAACTTCTCTCAAAGTTTGACAGGAAGCTCCATCCCTGGAGCAAATAAGCAGGATAATGTTCCAATGAGGCTGTTAATGATGTATCATCCCAAACTGCAGCTCCCTATGCATAGTAATTGGTTCAGTGTTCATGAGTGCGTGCACAAAGTTGATCAATACAGGTTGAATCAATGGAGGAGGAGAGGAAGCAAAGTTGTTGGAAAAGAGAGAAAGCTAAGCTGTTTACCTTTAGGGTTCAGTCCTGCACACGGAGGCCGTGATCATTTGCTTCTTCTATACCTGTAAAATCATAAAACTGCCATTAGGAATTACATTAAGCTGTGTCTTATATATTCAAAAACAAGTTTGTTAACATCTTACAAACAGTAATAGATACTTCAGTTCTTTATAACATACATTCAAACCTCATTTCTGTTTTAGGACCAAGATAAATGACAGTAGGATGGCTAACATTATGCTTCCTTCCCAACAGAAAATGCTGAATTTTCACGGTTAAAAACAGAGGACCCAATATTCAGGCAAGACAGACTGCGGGATTTCTCAAAAAGCGTTTATTAAAAACTGGCGGATCGGAGTGGCAGCAAACTGAGGCAGGAAACTTTGCAGAAAGGAAACACAGATTAGTGACCAGGTTAACCTGACAGAGGAAGATTATGAACGGGAGTCAATAACCAGGTTTAAAAGTTTAGTCCATCACTAGAGAACGAGGTAGGATCCAGCAGGTGAGCTGCCAACAAGATCCAGCGGGCGCCGCCCAGATTTTCCCAGTAACCCCGGCGAACAAGCAGGAGTCTGAAGCCAGGTCAGGCAAACAGGTCAGAACAGGAACAGGCAGGCTCAGTGAGGCAGGTTGGGAGGAAGAACAGGTCAGGATCAGGTAATCAGAAACACTCACATATGCTAAGAACCCTTCCACCACTGGCTGGAGAGAAATAATCTGGCCCTGATGGCTGGTAGCAGGTAGCTTGAATAGGGGTAGAAACAGGTGGATCAGATGAAGAGTAATGAGAAACTGGGAAAGTTAGACAGGAGAATAAGCCAGTCAGGGCACAGAAGTCCATGTACTTCCTGCAGAGGATGAGGAGAGCCAAAGCTTTAAGCTCCGCCCAGCAGATGATGTCAGACCAGCTCCACCAATCAGCAACCAGAGTCCACTTTGACATCCTGCCCAGTTTGATGCTGCTGCTGAAAGATTTCCTGATTAGTTAAACCGATGCTAAAGTAGAACTTCACATGATGCTCCACATTCCTCACTTTAGGGCTTCTTGGAAGCGTTTTCATAAAATAAAACTTGTTTCTCAAAATTTTAGGACTTTATTCTGCAAATAGAAGAAAATTAAATCTGTAGCCTGGCCCTAATCCAATTGCCAAAGAAAATTATTTGACCTTCCAAACTGAATTTAGTCATTGTTTCTTCTATATTTTTGCTTTAGTTTGAAAGAAAATAAATGTAATATAATTAAAAATAATCAATATGCTATAACAGAAAAGCTTTAGTGTGGATATTTCATTGCTTTTTCTTATAAAGGAAAGAAATGAGACAATTCTGTTACCTTTTCTATTAAACGTTTGCATATATAGATATATACAACCTCGGCATCCAAACTAAAAGTCTATATTCTCTTTAATCCTTATATTTTTATTTTTCTGAGATCAGTTTGCCTTCAGATGTCAACAGGGATGGTAGCCCTGCTGTTTAAAGGAGACAAAACATACAAAATTTTACAAAAAGGACAAATACAGCAGGGAGGCTTCCTTTGAATAAGATGTAGATTTGATTTTATTTACATTTAGATGGTTCATGCATCAGAAGACAACAAAAGAGCATCAGGCCACGGTCAAAGGAAAGTCAAGGAATTACTGTTTAAAGTCCATGGAAAATTCAAAGTTCTTTACAAGAATTAAAAATCAAAATAGAAGAAAAATAAAAGCAGAATAAAAGCCAATAAATATATAAAAAAAAATGTGTAAAAGAAATAAAACAATTGGACCTAAAACCAGGTTAAATAAACTCTATACAGGATACATAGATACAGGATAAAATAAAACTGCTTTGAAATAGAAATGACATGAAAAATATAAAAGCTCAAATCTTGCCTCACATAAAATAACATTTTTACTCCACAGCCTCATTCTGTCCCTTTCTGCTCCTCCAGTCTTTGCGCTGCTGCTTTCCTCTTCAGCCTGTTTTTTTTTTTGTTGTTGTTGTTGTTGTTTGGCACCTTGGCAAACAAATAAAGGTACATTTACAGTAGCAGCCATTCAAAATGGCCCTAAGCCGGTCAAAAGACAAACAAATGGCATCAAAATCTCCTCCAACTTCCAGCCACAGGCCCTCTCCTGGGCGTGCATATTTTTTCACTCTGACTCCAACCTTTCACTGCTTACCGGGTCTGACGAGGAGATGGCGCTTCTCTCTAGATCTTAATGTCCACAAATCATCACAGAAAGAATATTCTAGTACAAAGAATTATGTTTAAAAAAGAACTGAAGAAGACCAGCCAAGGACCAGCCAAGGTCCAACCAAGGTCCAACTAAGGACCATCCAAGGTCCAACCAAGGTCCAACTAAGGACCATCCAAGGTCCAACCAAGGTCCAACCAAGGACCAGCCAAGGTCCAACCAAGGTCCAACTAAGGACCATCCAAGGTCCAACCAAGGTCCAACCAAGGACCAGCCAAGGACCAACCAAGGTCCAACCAAGGTCCAACCAAGGACCAGCCAAGGACCAACCAAGGTTCAACCAAGGACCAGCCAAGGACCAGCCAAGGTCCAACCAAGGTCCAACCAAGGACCAACCAAGGACCAGCCAAGGACCAGCCAAGGACCAACCAAGGACCAACCAAGGACCAGCCAAGGACTTTTATAATGAAAATAAAGCTCACAGTTCTGTGGAAATAAGTCAAACTACTTGTTGGGGAAGAGGATGGTCATTGATGAAGGAATGCAACAGAAATGTCATTCTTCTTCTGTCACGTTGAAGCTCTTCTAGAACCTCGGCCCATTAGAGGCAGGCATGTGGCGTGAATAGAGAGTAAGTGACCTTTGTTATCAGGCTTGAAGGTGGTTTTATTCTTAGTCATCACTGTCAGGATGAATGCAACAATAGATCCATCATCATCAATCATCATTTCATGCGATGGGCAGAAGCCTAAGGAGCTAGTCAGCTATGACAGACAGCACAGACCATTCAATCAGCTTTGAACTTATGGAACTAAAGCTTTACATCAGATAAACCCAGGATTTTCCAACTTTATGGAAACTATGATAAAAAAAAAAATACAAAGTAAACCTTTTTTAAACCGGAGCTAAAAAAAATACCTCAGACAATCTTAAAATATTGTCACATTGTGTAATATTTGCCTTGGTTATTTTCAGTTTATTTAGACGCTTAGTTGAATTTAGAATAGAATAGAATAAAATAGAATAGAATAGAGTAGAATAGAAAATTCCTCTATTGTCCCACAATGGGGTAATTCTGGTGTTACAGAAGCAAAAAGATTATAGAAAAAATGGTCAAACAAATATGTACTTTTGAAAAATACATAAGAATAACATAATAGTGAAAATTTAAAGGTTAACAATAAAATAAAATAAAAAACTGTAAAGTGTTTTAACAATCTAAAACTGTGCAACTGGAGAATAAATAACCAATATCCAGCTGTGGAAATTTTAGACATCAGAGATGTGCAGAATGACATGGAAAGATCTGTGATAACGCTCCCTGGTGCATTTAAGGTGCAGCGGGCTGTCACTGAAGGAGCTGTCCAGTTCAGCACCAGCTGAACCAGCAGAGAGGTTCATTTAGTAAGAATCCGTCTGTTTTCCACCTCCTGCTCTGAGTCCAGAGGGCATCCAATCAGAGCTGGCCTTCCTGATCAGCTGATCCAGCCGCTTCCTCTCAGCTACAGATGAGCTGCTGCTCCAACAGACAGCTCCATAGAAGATGGCTGACGCCACAGAAGAGTCAGAGAAGGTCTTTAGGAGCGGCCCCTGCACTCCTGCACGCCTCCGGTATGGAGAAATGAGTCACATGCATTGATCAGGTGGGATTTTGGCCCATTCTTCCAACATCCTCCAGGAAGATTTTCTTCCAGCATTCACCCTGTTTTAACTTCATCACTAAAATAAACTTTTACCAGTTTCTGAGACAACACATTCCTACATCATGATGCTGCCACTACCATGTTTCACTGTGGGGAGAATGATAAGAAATACTAGCAGCCAGTCAAAATGGCCCTTCCCAGACAAGCGCCAGCCGAATGGCCGCCCACTTCCCTGCGACTCCCAGCCAAATCCCCTCCAACTTCCAGCCACTGGCCTTTTCCTGGGTGTGCATTTTGTTTACTCTGACTCCACCCTTTCACCAAATTACAGAGTCTGACCAGGAGATGGCGCTTCTCTTTACACAGAAAGAATATTTTAGTACAAAGTTATGATGCTTAAAAAGGAATTTTAGGGGACCAGCCAAGGACCAGCCAAGGACTAGCGAAGGACCAGCCAAGAACCAGCCAAAGACCAGCCAAGGACCAACCAAGGACCAACCAAGGACCAGCCAAGGACCAGCCAAGGACTAGCGAAGGACCAGCCAAGGACCAGCCAAAGACCAGCCAAGGACCAACCAAGGACCAACCAAGGACCAGCCAAGGACCAACCAAGGACCAGCCAAGGACCAGACAAGGAACAACCAAGGACCAGCCAAGGACCAACCAAGGACTAGCGAAGAAGCAGCCAAGGACCAACCAAGGACTAGCGAAGAAGCAGCCAAGGACCAACCAAGGTCTAGCGAAGAAGCAGCCAAGGACCAGCCAAAGACCAGCCAAGGACCAACCAAGGACCAGCCAAGGACCAACAAAGAACCAGCCAAAGACCAGCCAAGGACCAACCAAGAACCAGCGAAGGACCAATAAGAACCAGCCAAGGACCAACCATGGACCAACCAAGAACCAGCGAAGGACCAACAAAGAACCAGCCAAGGACCAACCAAGGACCAGCCAAGGACCAACCAAGAACCAGCCAAGGACCAACCAAGGACCAGCCAAGGACCAACCAAGAACCAGCGAAGGACCAACAAAGAACCAGCCAAGGACCAGCCAAGGACCAGCCAAGGACCAACCAAGAACCAGCCAAGGACCAACCAAGGACCAACCAAGAACCAGCCAAGGACCAACCAAGGACCAACCAAGAACCAGCCAAGGACCAACCAAGGACCAACCAAGAACCAGCCAAGGACCAACCAAGAACCAGCGAAGGACCAACAAAGAACCAGCCAAGGACCAACCAAGGACCCATCAAGGAAAGTGAGGAAATTCTGAATGGCTTCTACTTTAGTAACAATTTTCCATAATTAACCCAAAAATATGAAGAATTTCAACCAGCAGCATCTTGTGTTATTTGTGCAGATCTGTTTAAATAATCTCTGTCCTGTCAGCTAATGGGTGGCTCTCTGCAGCTCCTCCAAAGACACCTCGATCATTTCGGGTTCCAATTAAGGATTTCTTAAGCCGTCTCAATAGTTTTGACATATAACTGCATTTTTGACTTGCAGTTGTTCAACATTTTTATGACCATAACTTTGATTTCTGCCTGAATGAGCAGTGTGATAGAATAAAACGGTCTATTTACTAGTGACATGACTTTTCAATGGAGCGGTTTGGAAGTTAAGGATTTTTGTTAATAAAAGAAGTAAATGACAAAGCAATGAATGTATTTTCTTATTAGTGAACCTTGGAGCATGAAAACTTTAGGATAATTAACATGTTTCCAAAATGGTTTGATAGTTCAGTGCATCCTTTCTTAAGCTTAAACAAACCCATATCTGTGATCTTTCCAAATAGTTTGAATGTTTGCAGACCATAGTTTCCCATGACGTCAGTCTAAGGCACTAAGTTTACTGAGTATAGCTGATCTAAACACAGAGAACAACTGAGCCTTATCAGACACAGCGACAACATTTCCATTTACTATCCCTCTGGAGCTACTTACTTTTTCCGTTTCCGTCCCTTTTTCCACAGCAGAAGCTCGCTCTATTCCTCCCTCCTCTCTGCCTTCGGACGGAGAGATGGAGAGAGGAAGAGTAAAGGAGAGGAGCAGAGAGGAGAGGAGAGGAGCGCAGAATCCGGGCTAGAGGAGATGGGGACAATGCGCACAGAGGAGCCGCTGCACCAGGAGCGATCACCGAGCCTCAGATAGCGCCATTAAATGGGTCAGAGATGAAGTATTCATCTCCAGCTCCCATCGCACATGTAGACGTTGAATCCCTGCCTGCAATGGTACAACCCGGGGAGAGAGGGAGAGAGCTGGAGTGTTTGGATAACCTATATTTGGTAAAGAGGAGCCCACTGACACTTTTTTAAGATTGCCTTTTGTGAGAGATTCTTCTTCTTCCTAAAATGATTAAAAGCTGCAGTGTTTATTCTTCTGAGTCAGTCACATAGTCATTGGTTCATTTCGGAAACATTCATTTTATAAAAGCTGGAATTGATAAACAAATCTATCATAACACACACACAAAGCCATAAAAATCTATTATATATATATATATATATATATATATATATATATATATATATATATATATATATATATATATATATATATATATATATATATATATATATATATATATATAAACATTTAAATAAATAAAAAAATATATATATATCCAATATTAAATCATGTGAGTAAAAGGACGTAAATGAAGCCAAAATGAACATAACACCATTGTTGTAAACAAATCCTAAAAAAGCCAAACTGGAATTTTTAAACTACCTTTTGACAAACAACAACATTTCCGGGAAAACAAAATGGACATTTGTGCAAAGGTCTATTTTCACAGACAAAAGAATTTAAATAAAAAGGCTGTGCCTACTGCGAAACATGGAGGAGGCTCTGTGCTGCCCTGGGCTTCAGCTGGGAAAGGGTGTGTCAGTTTCTACTGCAGATAATTTTATAATTGAACATTATTAATGTCACAAAGGAGAAATTCTTTCTGTGCATTTAACCCCTCCCCTTGGGAAGCAGATGACTGCCATTGTACAGCGCCTGGAGAGCAGTGTGAGGTTAAGGGTCTTGCTCAGGGACCATGAGTGGAGGCAGTGGGGATCTAACCGGGTACTTGCATCCTTCTCAGAGCACATGAGCATTGCTCTATCCACCAGGCCACCACTCACCTACGGTGGCCCACAGGTATCAACACTTTTGTTGTAGTTTTATATCTTCTTTTTATATCTTCTTTGAGGCCATTCTGTTGTGGTTTTCATATTTCTGTTGTGGCTTTTATATTTGTGTTGCAGGTTTTGTATTTGTGTTGCAGGTTTTGTATTTGTGTTGCAGCATTTGTATTTGTGTTGCAGGTTTTGTATTTGTGTTGCAGGTTTTTTATTTGTGTTGCGGCATTTGTATTTGTGTTGCAGGTTTTGTATTTGTGTTGCAGCTTTTGTATTTGTGTTGCAGCTTTTGTATTCATGTTGGAGGTTTTGTCTTTGTGTTGCAGCTTTTGTATTCGTGTTGCAAGTTTTGTATTTGTGTTTCAGCTTTTGTATTTGTGTTGCGGGTTTTGTATTTGTGTTGCAGGTTTTGTATTTGTGTTGCAGATTTTGTATTTGTGTTGCAGGTTTTGTATTTGTGTTGCAGGTTTTGTATTTGTGTTGCAGCTTTTGTATTTGTGTTGTAGGTTTTGTATTTGTGTTGCAGGTTTTGTATTTGTGTTTCAGCTTTTGTATTTGTGTTGCGGGTTTTGTATTTGTGTTGCAGCTTTTGTATTCGTGTTGCAAGTTTTGTATTTGTGTTGCAGCTTTTGTATTCATGTTGCAGGTTTTGTCTTTGTGTTGCAGCTTTTGTATTCGTGTTGCAAGTTTTGTATTTGTGTTGCAGGTTTTGTATTTGTGTTGCAGCTTTTGTATTCGTGTTGCAGCTTTTGTATTCATGTTGCAGGTTTTGTCTTTGTGTTGCAGCTTTTGTATTCGTGTTGCAGGTTTTTTATTTGTGTTGCGGCATTTGTATTTGTGTTGCAGGTTTTGTATTTGTGTTGCAGCTTTTGTATTTGTGTTGCAGCTTTTGTATTCATGTTGCAGGTTTTGTCTTTGTGTTGCAGCTTTTGTATTCGTGTTGCAAGTTTTGTATTTGTGTTTCAGCTTTTGTATTTGTGTTGCGGGTTTTGTATTTGTGTTGCAGGTTTTGTATTTGTGTTGCAGATTTTGTATTTGTGTTGCAGGTTTTGTATTTGTGTTGCAGGTTTTGTATTTGTGTTGCAGGTTTTGTATTTGTGTTTCAGCTTTTGTATTTGTGTTGCGGGTTTTGTATTTGTGTTGCAGGTTTTGTATTTGTGTTGCAGCTTTTGTATTCATGTTGCAGGTTTTGTCTTTGTGTTGCAGCTTTTGTATTCGTGTTGCAAGTTTTGTATTTGTGTTGCAGGTTTTGTATTTGTGTTGCAGCTTTTGTATTCGTGTTGCAGCTTTTGTATTCATGTTGCAGGTTTTGTCTTTGTGTTGCAGCTTTTGTATTCGTGTTGCAGGTTTTTTATTTGTGTTGCGGCATTTGTATTTGTGTTGCAGGTTTTGTATTTGTGTTGCAGCTTTTGTATTTGTGTTGCAGCTTTTGTATTCATGTTGCAGGTTTTGTCTTTGTGTTGCAGCTTTTGTATTCGTGTTGCAAGTTTTGTATTTGTGTTTCAGCTTTTGTATTTGTGTTGCGGGTTTTGTATTTGTGTTGCAGGTTTTGTATTTGTGTTGCAGATTTTGTATTTGTGTTGCAGGTTTTGTATTTGTGTTGCAGGTTTTGTATTTGTGTTGCAGCTTTTGTATTTGTGTCTTAGGTTTTGTATTTGTGTTGCAGGTTTTGTATTTGTGTTTCAGCTTTTGTATTTGTGTTGCGGGTTTTGTATTTGTGTTGCAGGTTTTGTATTTGTGTTGCAGCTTTTGTATTCGTGTTGCAAGTTTTGTATTTGTGTTGCAGCTTTTGTATTCATGTTGCAGGTTTTGTCTTTGTGTTGCAGCTTTTGTATTCGTGTTGCAAGTTTTGTATTTGTGTTGCAGGTTTTGTATTTGTGTTGCAGCTTTTGTATTCGTGTTGCAAGTTTTGTATTTGTGTTGCAGGTTTTGTCTTTGTGTTGCAGCTTTTGTATTCGTGTTGCAGGTTTTGTATTTGTGTTGCAGCTTTTGTATTCGTGTTGGAGGTTTTGTATTTGTGTTGCAGCTTTTGTATTTGTGTTGCAGGTTTTGTATTTGTGTTTCAGCTTTTGTATTTGTGTTGCAGGTTTTGTATTTGTGTTTCAGCTTTTGTATTTGTGTTGCAGGTTTTGTATTTGTGTTTCAGCTTTTGTATTTGTGTTGCAGGTTTTGTATTTGTGTTGCAGGTTTTGTATTTGTGTTGCAGGTTTTGTCTTTGTGTTGCAGCTTTTGTATTTGTGTTGCAGGTTTTGTATTTGTGTTGCAGGTTTTGTCTTTGTGTTGCAGCTTTTGTATTCGTGTTGCAGGTTTTGTATTTGTGTTGCAGGTTTTGTATTTGTGTTGCAGCTTTTGTATTCGTGTTGGAGGTTTTGTATTTGTGTTGCAGCTTTTGTATTTGTGTTGCAGGTTTTGTATTTGTGTTTCAGCTTTTGTATTTGTGTTGCAGGTTTTGTATTTGTGTTTCAGCTTTTGTATTTGTGTTGCAGGTTTTGTATTTGTGTTTCAGCTTTTGTATTTGTGTTGCAGGTTTTGTATTTGTGTTGCAGGTTTTGTATTTGTGTTGCAGGTTTTGTCTTTGTGTTGCAGCTTTTGTATTTGTGTTGCAGGTTTTGTATTTGTGTTGCAGGTTTTGTATTTGTGTTGCGGCATTTGTATTTGTGTTGCAGGTTTTGTATTCGTGTTGCAGGTTTTGTCTTTGTGTTGCAGGTTTTGTCTTTGTGTTGCAGTTTTTGTATTTGTGTTACAGGTTTTGTATTTGTGTTGCAGGTTTTGTATTTGTGTTGCAGCATTTGTATTTGTGTTGCAGGTTTTGTATTTGTGTTGCGGCATTTGTATTCGTGTTGCAGCTTTTGTATTCATGTTGCAGGTTTTGTCTTTGTGTTGCAGCTTTTGTATTTGTGTTGCAGCTTTTGTATTTGTGTTGCAGCTTTTATATTTGTGTTGCAGGTTTTGTATTCGTGTTGCAGGTTTTGTATTTGTGTTGCAGCTTTTGTATTCATGTTGCAGGTTTTGTCTTTGTGTTGCAGCTTTTGTATTCGTGTTGCAAGTTTTGTATTTGTGTTGCAGGTTTTGTATTTGTGTTGCAGCTTTTGTATTCGTGTTGCAGGTTTTGTATTTGTGTTGCAGGTTTTGTATTTGTGTTGCAGCTTTTGTATTCGTGTTGGAGGTTTTGTATTTGTGTTGCAGCTTTTGTATTTGTGTTGCAGGTTTTGTATTTGTGTTTCAGCTTTTGTATTTGTGTTGCAGGTTTTGTATTTGTGTTTCTGCTTTTGTATTTGTGTTGCAGGTTTTGTATTTGTGTTTCAGCTTTTGTATTTGTGTTGCAGGTTTTGTATTTGTGTTGCAGGTTTTGTATTTGTGTTGCAGGTTTTGTCTTTGTGTTGCAGCTTTTGTATTTGTGTTCCAGGTTTTGTATTTGTGTTGCAGGTTTTGTATTTGTGTTGCGGCATTTGTATTTGTGTTGCAGGTTTTGTATTCGTGTTGCAGGTTTTGTCTTTGTGTTGCAGCTTTTGTATTCGTGTTGCAGGTTTTGTATTTGTGTTGCAGGTTTTGTATTTGTGTTGCAGCTTTTGTATTCGTGTTGGAGGTTTTGTATTTGTGTTGCAGCTTTTTTATTTGTGTTGCAGGTTTTGTATTTGTGTTTCAGCTTTTGTATTTGTGTTGCAGGTTTTGTATTTGTGTTTCAGCTTTTGTATTTGTGTTGCAGGTTTTGTATTTGTGTTTCAGCTTTTGTATTTGTGTTGCAGGTTTTGTATTTGTGTTGCAGGTTTTGTATTTGTGTTGCAGGTTTTGTCTTTGTGTTGCAGCTTTTGTATTTGTGTTGCAGGTTTTGTATTTGTGTTGCAGGTTTTGTATTTGTGTTGCGGCATTTGTATTTGTGTTGCAGGTTTTGTATTCGTGTTGCAGGTTTTGTCTTTGTGTTGCAGGTTTTGTCTTTGTGTTGCAGTTTTTGTATTTGTGTTACAGGTTTTGTATTTGTGTTGCAGGTTTTGTATTTGTGTTGCAGCATTTGTATTTGTGTTGCAGGTTTTGTATTTGTGTTGCGGCATTTGTATTCGTGTTGCAGCTTTTGTATTCATGTTGCAGGTTTTGTCT